GCTCCTGCTGGCATCCCTGCCAGTCCCAGCCAGCAAGGGGCAATTCCTGCCATCAGCCTGGGAGCCCCACCGGAGTCACCAGGTCCTTCCAGCCAGACGGACCCTGTCCCTGACTCCCTCCTACCCAAAGGGACCCTGTCACCACCCAGAGCCCCAAGGCAGAGACAGACCCTCAGGACCAGCCACATTCAAGCCCCATCTCAGTGAGGTCTAAGCCTCAGCTGGACCAGCTTCCCCAGCCAAACAAGATCCTCCTCCTCACCGACTGCCAGCTCTGTCCCATCGCGACCCTTCTAAGGACCCAAGTCCCATTTGGACCCAGCCCAGCCCCATTCCAACTGCTCCGAGCCCTTTCCCAAGTGGTCCGGCCCCATCCCGACCAGTCCGAGCCTCTTCCCGGACGGACCGGCCCCTCTCCCGGTCGCTCCAAGCCTCATTCCAGAACCAGTCACCTCCCAATAGGTCCCACTCCGGCCGAGCCGACCCCATCCCGCAGTGCGGCGGGCTCCGGTCTATCAGTGGGTTCCAGGGAAGGGTGTCCCGGAGAAGAGGAGGGGTGTCCCGGGGAGAAGGGGGTGTCCCGGCGCACTCACCATGGAGCCCCGCGGGCGCGGCCCCTGCGGCGGTCCCGGGGAGCCCGGTCCGGCCCCGTCCCGCTGCGCCGGGGCCCGCGGTTTGAACTTGGCTCCACGGTGGGAGGGGACGGGACACGGCACCGCGGCCGGCCCAGCCCCGGCCCCGCGGGGGAGGCCGCCCCGGCCCCCCCGGCCCCCGGGGGAGCGCAGAGGGGAGCGCGTCGTGCCGGGGCTGCGGGGGTGGCAGAGCGTCCTCCTGCCCCGGAGGGACCGGCAGGGCAGTGCCCCCTGCTCGCAGCCAGCCGGGGATCCCAAGCCACGCGTGTCCCTGTCCCGGAGCTGCACGCTGCGCTGCAAACCCCCGCGGTTTCGATTTCTGTTGGTGTGGGGCGATTGTTTCACTCTGGATACACAGAGGGCAGTGGGTGAACACTGACAACGGCACCAACCCATGGCAAAAGTGACCGTCGAGGGTGAGACCCCCAAAATATCAACAGGAGGAGTGTCCTTGTGCTTCCAACCAAAGCCCTCTGCTCCTTCCCCTCTGCATTTTGTACCTCACCCCCAATCCAGGCCCTGACTCAATTCGTATCAATTTTGGGAAAAACTGAACTGACAGCAACAAGGCTCCACTGAGGAGCTGAATGTGGGTGATTGAGTAAGAAATAGAACAAATGGTGAATAATCCAGCTCTGCTCGGCTTGCTGAGAATGTTCCTCCCCAGGAAGTGGGACCCACAGCACACTGCAGCATTCCACCGGGACAGGACCCATATAACTTCTTTATTGAGCTCTATATATAGCTAAAATTCGTGGGTGCCATAATCCATTTAAAAACCACCAAGATATCTACAAACATTAAAAGGCTCTAAGACTGACCATCCCTTTTAAGTAAGAAAAAATAATCCCCAAACTAAGGAATGTAGCCCAAAGGAAAGGAAAGCTGCAGGTACCAGGGGCAGGTGGCCAAAGCAGCCTGATGCTGTGAGAAGGTGGCACAGTTGCACAGGGCCCCTTCCTTGGGGTTTCCACATCCCAAAAATTCTTTTAAGATGTGGTGCTGCCACCTAAGCAAGGGGCAGGGGCAGCATGAGGATCTCATCAGTGGGTTGCACCTGTATTATCTGGCTCAAGGGAAATGGTCTCGACACACGTCAGGGATCTCCAGCAGGAAAAGCCACACCACTGCAATTCCCACTTCCCTTTCCCATCCCAATTCTGCACAACAGAACACAGCACTGCTAGGCAGGGGGATTTATGCACCACAGGCACCCAGCTTCCCCCAGCACATCACTACACCAGGAATCAGAATGCCACATTCCCTGCCCAGAAAAGCAGGATATAGCCCCCATGTGAACACAAGAGGCTGAAGGACAGCACACACTGAAAGCTACTTTAAAACCTGTTTTTATCCTGCAATTTCTGCCTCAGTCTTGAATCCTTGTCCAGCCAGGTTCCCTTGCCATGTCTACCCTTTCCCTCAAACATCATCTTCACTCCCCTTCCCAAACTCTTCCATTCTCTCTGAGCCCACTCACCTGAAGGATGCCAGGCAATGGCACAAAATCCCTGAGCAAGAGCTCTCAACTCCCAGTGCCCCTCACTCACCTTTGGGAAACTACAGTTCCATGGGATATCAGTGATCTACACCCTTCTATCAGCTATTCCAGAGAATGCATCACAGTTTCCATTATGAACCCCAGGAGAAAAAGACTTTTTGCTTCCCGACCAACCGTTTCTGCTCCAGCGTTAAAAGATTCGTTTTGGGCTTCTCATCCATTTTGGCAAGAGGCTGCAGCTCAGCTTGGTGCAGCCACCACTGGCAGGCACCTTCCCAGAGTGGTGGGAGCCTGATAAGTCCAAAGGCTGCTGCTATCAGACCCACTCTTCCCAGTCAGAATCAAAGGGCAAGACCACACTCAAAGACAACAGAAGGAAACAAAAAAAAAAGGCTGTATTTTATACATATTCTCCAACAAGTAACAAGGGAGTTTCTCCTCCAACTAAATACATGGGATAATGCACATCCACAGACCTAGATACAGCTGCTATAGCCTCAGGTGTAAGACAATACAGCTTCTGATTCTATGATCACAAGAAAGTCAGGAGGTTGGGGTAAAAATAGTACACATCACAAGTATAGAAAATTGAAGACAGTGTACAAAGGCTCCCAAACACAAAGCTTTCCCTCTCTTGAGTTTGCTTTTTCCTATCTGCACTTGGAGATAGAAATCAAACCTCCCAGCCACAGGCAGTCACAGCTGTGTAACAGCAGTCTCCCAACAACTCTAAAAAAATGTTCTTCCTTCAAAAGGGCTTTCAGGGATTGCTGAGTTTTGCCTTGTTACTTTAAACCACCACTGTGCTCTTAACGAACTCAAACACCTAAAAGAATAAGCTTTACTATATACATTTAATAATTGAGGAAAAGTTCTCTAAAAATATGCTTTTGAATTTGACAAAATGCTCCAGCTGCTCAGGTTGGAGGAACACCTCCAAGCTGTGCAGCAGCTTGTTAGCAGAGACCAAACTAAAGCACCTGAAGAAGAGGAGCCAGCCCAGAATTTTCCCTGTGCTGCTGGGCTGCTCCTGCAACTCCACCCACCTCCTTCAGGGACAATCAGTGTATTCCAACAGCAACAACCCAGATCTACCGACAAGGAACCAACATCAGATGGGCCAAACTCTAAAGGGGAACATGAAACACATGCCAGGGCCAAGAACAGAGGGACTGCCACATGTCAGAATCCATACAAGCACTAATTAAAGCTTGTGTTTGCAGGGGGGAATTGGGAATCAACATGGAAATGCCAACAGAGCCTCACAAGACTGCTCCTGTCCCCTGTGTGACACCAGCTACAATGTTCCCATGTGCTGTAGAAGCTGATGGCCGTGCTGGGGAAAGAAGGAAGCAGCTTTCCCTTTTGGGAGAAAGCTCTTTCTTATCATCATCCATGTCCTGTCCTTCAAAATCTGTGCCACTGAAAGGGCAAATGCACCATGAGCAGGTTAAATCCTACAGGGACCTCTGAGGCAGCTGAGGCCAGCACACTCTAGAAGGTATTTTTCAGCTTGGCTGCCACAAGCACAAGAATCTCTCCAATCTTTTTCTGCCAATTCTCTATGTCCTTGGAGACATCACACCAGAGCTCTCCATGGCGAGGTTCAGCATTCTCACAGCGCTTCCTTACCTCTTCTTGTTGTTCCTACAGGGAAGAGAAATGACAGTTTGTCCTGGTTTGTTCCAGAACACAGCCAAAAATTGAACCCTCCCTGATTCAAACACTCTTCCAAAGATTATGGTGGGGTTTAGGGGTCTGTTATTTTCAAAGGAAGTCCAAGTCAAAATTCAGAAACAGCAAGTCTCCTGCCTGGCTGAACAAACTGGCTGAGCTGCAGGTAAGAAAATTTTGGTTATTGCAGATAAACTGCAGCAGAAATTTCCTTTGCATTACCACCTGCAGGAGCTGTGTCAAGTGAAAGGTCTCTGAAGTCAGAAGATAAACACCCCCATAATTTCAGTAGTACCAGCAGTAAAAACTGCTGTAAGAGATTAGAGCCGGCTGTTCTCTGTCTGTGTTCACGTGCAACCTGTACTTGACATTCGGGAAGAAACAGCCCCAGTTATACAAACCCAGCACCACAACTGGAGCACAATCCCCTCTAAGCAAGCTTGAGTTTTACAGGAGGAAGATTGATTTCAGAGATTTTTGCATGAACCAGCAGGACTGTGGACAGCAAAGCAGCCTGAAACACAGCTCAGCTAATGACAGCATCTTTTAAAAGCCACCACACAGGCCTGTTCATGCTCATTCATGACCAGGCGTGACAGCCAGCCTCCCCTGTGACCACACAGGCAGGAGCAGTGGCAGCGTGCTCAGCCCAGCACTGCAGCAATCCCAGGACTGGGCAACCCCTGCCAGCCAGGGATTGCTGCTGCCTCCCCTGTTCCCAGGCACACACTCACCTCTGTGCCATGCTGGAGCTCAAATTTGTAAAAGAAGGCCCAGGCATCCCCCAGGTCAGAGTCTATCTTCACCGTGCGGTGGAACCACTCTCTGGCCTTGGTTATTTTACGCTCGCTCCAGAACAGCCTGTTGGGAAAAGCAGAGGGGAGCTGACAAACAGCCTCACTTTAAAGGAAGATGCCAACCCACAAGAGCTCCAACTTAAGGGCTCTGCAGATGTTCCAATTCTTTGCTCTCCCAGGAAGTAAAGAGCAGATTTTTAGGCAACTTGCAGACCATCCTGCCCCTAGGAAGGGAAGAGAGTGAGAGGACTGGAAAGAACATTCAGCGCTTCCTCTTCACTGCCCCACAGTGAGGCAGGATAACTTAGCCCCATGCACAGACTCTGCTGAAAGGGAAGCACTACTGAGTTCAACCTTTGCTGCCTCAATTGCTTTAATTTTACTTTTAATTTTCCACACCAGATTTGGTGTGGAAGAGACAAGATTACATGCCTACATCTATTCCCACTCCTTCAATTTAAGTCAATTTTAGCATCTAACAATTAAATAACTTCTAAAAGCTCATCTGTATGGTCACATGCTCACACCTACAAAGCCTGCTGGAGTGGAGTGGAACAGACCTGCCTTGTCAGCTCCATTTTCCAAGGAAAAACAAGTATGGAAGCTTCTGCACTCAAATCCCAGCCTGGCACAGCTCTACTGCTGCCATTTCATTCAGGCACTGGTCAATGCTGAAATT